GTTTTCACTCTTTAAATTCTAACCTTGCCTCCTGCCTCTGCCATTCTTACAGCTGCCTTTTCCAAATTTGGCAGATTGTTTAGGTTGCATTTGTTTTATAGGCCAGTGTGCTTTTAAAATAGTTTGGCAACTTTAGTTAGTACAGTTAGTTAATTAAAGAAGTTAGTTCTTCTCTCTTTGTGTAAGTGATTCCCTTAGTCTTAAATAGCAACTGAGCTACTTTTCCCAAGGGAAGGGGCCCGGGGTTTATTGTTTTGCAAGACAGTACTTTTTAGAGTCATTTTTTTTTCTTTTGAGGCAGTTTCATATAGACCAGGCTAACCTCCACCTCACTATATACCCAAGGATGACCCTGAATTTCTAATTCTCTTGCCTCCATCTTAAGAGTGTGGGGATTACAGGTATGTACCACTGTGCTAGATATATGTAATGCTGGGGATTGAATCCAGAATTTCATGCATGCTGGCAAGCACCTTACCAAGTCCAAAGTGATACTTTTTTTTTTTAAAAAAAACTTGGATATTCAGAACTGAAGTGAAAAATGGGAGTGCCTTTGTTTATGTTTCAAAAAAGCAATTGACCCAATGTTAGGTAGAGATGCCTTCATATTAAGCTTTGTTTGATTAAGTAGGTGGGAAGATCAGTGAATATTGACTGTTTGTTCTTAAAATAACACTGCTGAAGTTCTAGATACTTCTCTAACAGTGAATATACAGGAAGGAAGTAAAAACAAAACAGGAAGACAATGTAAAGTTCTTTGTTCTCAGTCCCTGCTTGGTATTGTGGATTGGGGAGAAAACAGTATGCATTTCTATTTTTATTTCACTTGATTTTCTAATCTTTCATATTTGGCCAGCTCCTTTCTGAGAACATATTGTACACATGTTCTGATGCTGTTTGAAGGCCCTCTGGGATGCAGGAGTTGATTGAAAGCTCTCAGTTCTACTGAAGTGGGTGGCCAGAGAGCTGGAGCGGAACAGCTGCCATCCACTCATTGAACTTTTGTCATTTATAAATTATTTTCCATGCCATCTGGAGCAAGAATGGTGCCATGGCTCAGAGAACTCTTGGTGGGGTGTGCTGATACTCAGTGCTTATGCGCTTGCTCATTACCGCTTTCAGCTGAAGTTGTAAAAATCTTTATTTGCCTAGTGACTTGAGGGTGTGAATATATGAGAGCGATTTCTCTAAGTCTGCTTTGAAAGATGCCACCTCCATCTCTCCCAACATCTCCCCCAACTCTCTCCTACCCAGTGACTACAACCTGCCCCTTCTTCTTTCCAGTGGAAAAAATACATCAAGCCCAGAGTCTCTATGAGGTTTCTTGTTTGATGACATAGTCAGAAATCCTTCTTCCCATGGCCCCCGAGCTGGTGTCTGAATATGATGTTGTCTTGGTAGGAAAAATTAAGCTTCTACTCTCCTCCCCCATTAAAAAAAAATAAATGAAATGATCCAGGCCATGAACTCAAGGTCTGAAATGCATTCCTATAACATTAAAGGGGAGAAAGCTGTGGGCGCGTCTGCTGCGCTGGTTGGGAGTTTCATTAATCTGAAGATTTGTGCTGGCAGCAGATGCCGTGCCTGGTGCTTCCTGTGCACACGGTACAGGCTGCAGCAATGCCACCAGCAGGAAGTGTCTAAGCTGCTCCCGTAGGTAGCCACTGTCATACAGCAGCTCCTGGAAAAATACCACGAACCCTAGACGCCCCAGAAGGGCGAGTGTTGATTTAAGCTAGCTCCTCCCCCCAGCCCCCTCGGTGGCAGCCTGTTTACCTCATGAGTTTTGCTTTGGTGCCCTTCACAGAAGCTGGGAAGCTGAAAGCCTGTGAGAAGAATCCGAAGTCAAGATGGGGAGATGTCTTAACACGAGAAGAGCCAACGATGACATCTGACACCGAGGGTGGTTTTTTACAGACGTTCTGAAGCTGAGATGCTGTAAAGGAGAACTGTGGTGGCTGTGAAGTAGTTGGAGGGAAGGAGTCTTGACATAAAAGTCAAACCACGATGATCCCGTCTGAATGCCAGAGGGCATGCGCACTTTTACAAGCTTGGATATTATTGGCACAGGAAGCACAACATATGCTTAAATGTGGATTTCCCTTGCTATTTGGAGACCCCTTTCCGTTTTGTGCCGTTTTGGTAGGTTGCCACTCCCCTCCATTTGGTTGGCTTGGACAGAGTATCTCTTGCCTTGGATCTTACAGGTCCAGGCCTGGTAGCACCTGGTCAGGGTGAGAACAAGAAAAAGACCACTCCTGAGGATTTCCCAGTCCTGGATGTATGGGCCCTCCATGATTCTCTCTCCTTCTGTAACACCAGACCCCAGGTTTTGCCCAGAGTACTTAGGAGAGAAAGAGAACATATAATGAATGCTAGAACTTCATCAAGAAGGCTGTCTTAGTTACATTTCTATTGCTGTGGTAAAATGCCATGACCAAGGCAACTTATAAAAAGAAGGCTCTTAATTTGACTTATAGCTTCAGAAGGTTAGAGTTCATGGCGGTGCCATGAAGGTATAGCTGAGTGCTTACATCTTGATCTACAACTGAGAGAGCGAGAAAGAATATGCCCACTGGCATTAGTAGGAGTCTTTTGAAACCTCATAGGCCACTCCCAGTGACATATCTTCCCTAACAAGGTAGTACCCTCCTAATCCTTCTCAAACAGTTCCACCAGCTGGGGACCAAGTAGTCAAATATGTGAGCCCGTGCAGATCATTCTCCTTCAAATCATCGGAAGAGATGAATAAAGAAGGGCTCTAGTGAGTTGGGAGCTGGGACAGTGTCACCATTTGTAATCCTTCAGGTCAGAACTATCTTTGGGATCCCCATATTGAATTCCAAACAAAGCTACATCTTTTACAGCTGCTTCCTTTGTGATCTGGGAGCCTGCAGCGACTCCCTGAGGGAAAACATGCAGGTGGTCATTCTAGTGACTGAGAACTTCCCCACAGTGCACCAGAGATTCTCACCGACTAGTGATTGACAACTTGGAATTCTGCATTTCAAGAGCTGCGGATCTGTTCCAGGGGTCAGAGGTTACATGGCCGGTTGTTGAGCACGGACTCTCAACATACATTTCCTAAACCATTTAGCCTTGTACTGTGATAATGGACCATTGGTGTGAGAAAGGACCTTAACTATCACATATGATGGGTGAGTCTCTTTACTCAGATGGCCTGTGACCAACTGGGGGAAAGGAGGGCGATCATTCTTTTTGTTCTGAATCTATAGTGCAGCTTGGTTCGACTAGACTGTCTCATAAATCATAGTGAGTTGTCTGTCTCAAGATATCGATGGACAAAATGATTCTTTATGTGCACCCTGGGCCCCTAACTGAAGTTACTTCTCAGATAATGCCTCCTGCTTCTTGTCAGTTTTCTTTTACCCTGTTACCTGTGTATCTGTAGTTTTTCCTGTACCAGGTTTCAGCTGAAATGTCAGAAGAGGCGAGGCTTGAGGTTAAATCACAGCTCTGCTGGTTTGGGACTTTGTCACATCCAATGAGTCATCTCTCTGCAGTAAGTCTCGGGCTCCCTTTTTTTATATATATTTTATTTATTTGTTTGTTTATTTATTTATTTATTTTTGTGAAATGGGAAATAAAGGGCCAGCAAGATGGCTCAGCAGGACCAGGCATTTACTGCCAAGGTCAAGCCTCAGGATCTCCAGACCCCATGTGGTGGAAGGAGCCAAGTGACTTCCTCTGGCCTTCACAAGTGCACCATGGCACATGGACGCTCATATGTGTGTACACACACAACATCAACCCAAAAAATATATTTAAGGGAAATAAAATGTTCTCACATTTTTACTTTGTTGTGAAGATTCTTGTCTGAGCAGGCATATAGGGAAGGGGAATGGATTGCCATACAAACACTTGTTTTTGTTTGGCAATCTGCAATATAATAAATATTCATGCATTGAGCAGAAGGATGGAGGACAAAACCCTGCCTCTGGGGACCTTCCCTAGGCTGGCACTGACTTAGATGGTGACAGCATCCTGGCTCACCTGTATTAGCCTAACACACTGCCCACACAGTCAGCACATGTCTTTCCATCAGGAGCTTCCAGTTGTCAAGAGGGCCGTCGTCTGATTCCCCACTGAAGCCCAAATACATCATGTCCAGTGCAGTTCCTTCATCTGCCAGTTTGCTAGCCTTGTCTGAGGAGGAAATGAGGTTTGCTTTGTCCCTGGGGAACCAACACTGTCTGGCAGGACTGACACTTGTTCTTCTATGTTGTCACAGCCCATTCTCTTAACACTCTTCCAAGATCTTGTCCGAGATCAACAGTCAAAACACTGGTGTCATGTGGGTCCCCCCCCCCCTTTTCTCTTTTTCTATCCTATTGTCTTGAAATAAGGGACTTTATTCTCCTCATCTTTAGTCTTCTGGTACCAACTCTGTTTCCCCGCCCCTGAGGATTTACAACAAAGGACGCCCAGGGGCCATCACTTTCGGGTCCAGGTGGCATTCACCGTGTATTTTGGTCACTCTTCTCATTTTTGCTAATAATGCTGTAAACTCAGCATGAGTTGTGTTTGCCCTTATAATATCACCATGGCTAAAGTCTTCATGTTGAAAAAGCCATAAAAATGTGTTCTGGTATGTGATCAATGCATTAAAAATACAGTGTTGCTTTCAGCCCCCATATGAAAACAAAACCAACATTATAAAAAAGCAGTATGCTATTAAAGGTATAGTGGTAGTTTATTTTATGGCTGACAAAATTAGGATTCATTGTTGAAAAGTCTAGATTTAAAGAGATATTTGGGGGCTGGAGATGTAACTCAGTTTGTAGAATGCTTGTGTAGAATGTGCAAAGTCTTGGGTTTTGTCACGAGAATCTCATAAATCAGGCATGGAGGTGCACATATACAGTCCCATCACTTCAGAAGTGTGGTAGCAAGGTAAGGGGTTCAGGGTCATCTCTAGCTACATACTGAGTCCAAGGCCAGCATCTATGTGCGAGCTTGGAGACAGACAGACACAGACA